GTGCTAACTATCTTTCTATAGATAAGAAGAACTACCTAAAATGCAATAAACCTAGTAAGCTACTTGCTAAAGAGCCCGCTCTTTAAGAGTAAGAGAAGTAATCTAATAAAAAGTAATTACTTAGCGTTAAAGACGCTATTTTATATTAGCGTTAAGTGCTCTAAACGCACGCTAGCGCGCTTTAAAAGTATTAACTATAAAAGCTACTAGAGAAGTAATAGCTAAAGACAACCTTAATATAGTAGTAGCCTAAGAAGTGTAGCATATAAAAAAAGTAAAGTTATTAAATTTATTAGCCTAAGACTTTCTCTTTAGAGTGCTTAAAATATTAAAAGAAGTCTAGAAAGCTATAAGTAGAAAGTTTATACATAATATTATATAGCCTTTAGTGTAGTTATTTACCTTTAATAGACGCTTAGTAATAAGAAAATATTTCTAAATAGCTAAAGCAATAGAAGCTACCTTTTAACAAGTAACCTCTAAAAGATAATAAGCTAGTATAAGTCTTAATAAACTATTAAAGAAAGAATACCTTACTAAAGAAATAATCGTGCCTACTCTAGTATTAGTAAGTAATATAATAGCTATTTAAGAGAGTAATCTTATTAGTATTAGAGACTATAGAACACTACTAGACTTAATAACTATAATATTAATAGGTATAGTAAGAGTTTCTAATATTATCTATAGAAGTGTACTAAGAAGAGTTATTAATAAAGTATAAGAAAAAAAATAGTAAGATACTAACTATAAGGCCTAATAGTACCGCAAGTCTAAATACTAGTAAATATAACTTACTAGTAGAAAATCCTTATCTTAGTTGTATAGTATAGTTATTAGAATTAATAACATCTTTATTAGTGTTTAGAATATAGGCGCGTCTATAGTAATAAAGAAAGTAAAATAAAGTTACATTAGAAGAATTGTTGCTAGTAGTATTAATATAGTACAGACTATATACCGTGTTAGAGACACTATTTAAGTAACTAAGATAAGCCTAGGTAATCTTATAGACAAAGACAGAAAACTAGAAGCTAGAGTTATTACGTAGGTACCTTGCTAGGGTATTAGTAAAATAATTAATAAGATTACTACTTATGGGTAATAAGAGAAAAACAATAACTAGAGTAATAGTTAGTCTAAAGCTTTTAATAAGGTAGGAAGTACTTATATAATCTTATTAACACTACTACTAGAGTCTTTTTCTTAACTAGAGAGGCTACTAAGAAGCTAGAAGAAGAACAAAGACTACAACTAAAAGGTTTCTTACTACTAACTCTACTATCTCTACTATTCTTACAAGAAGAGCTAACGTTAAGAGTAGCTATAAGTAAGGTAGTATTATTAGGTAAAAATATTACAATAGAGTGTTAATGCAAAGTAGAGCAACAAAACATACTTAGGTAACTTAATATACTATTCTTACTATAGGTGTATTTTATAAACACCTTATACTTACTATATATAGCTATAGGAATTAATAAAACTCTATTAATAATACTTGCTATAGATCTATTACATTAATAATATAATTCTAAGTAGTAATAGTAATAGAGCTTCTTCTAGACTTAGAGGTAGACTTAGGCGTTAATTTAGAGGTTTACGTAGTTAAGCTATAGAGCTATATTCTCTCTCTAAAGACATTAGCGTAGAAATAAGCTTTTAAAAAGTAATAATAAGTAAGCTCTTATTAGTAGAACAGCTAGAAGTTAGAACGTAGTATAATATTAAATAGAAGCCTTTACATTAGCTATAAGAGTAGATAAATTAAAGATAGCTTTAAACTATAGTACTACTACGTAAATAAACTCTAGGTTTAAGATAATATTATACTATAGTACTATAAGTCTAGAGATATTTTGCGCAGTTAAAACATAGTTTAGAGAATAGTAGACTTACGTAGTATTTATATAAAATGTCTACTTACTTAGAGAATACTTCTCTTTATTCTACGTTTTTCTTAATACCTCTATATACTTTAAAATATCTATAAATATTACCTAATATATTTATTAATTACTAAGAATATATAGTATATACTAACTTCTCTTCTATACTTAGAATTAAGACCTCTGTTCTTAAGAATACCTAGGCTATTAGCGTAATAGAATATATAACTATAGAAGAACTTACTACTTATCAAAGTAGCTTATTTACCTTTCTAGTTCTTACTAAGAACTCTAAGATAGTAGACCTAAAGATCCTAGCTATAAGAATAGAGCTAGTAAAAGGCTTCTAATATAATAGTGTTAGGATTATAGTAGTGATTAACCTAGACTAGAAACGCCTTATAAGCTTATTGTCGGAGCAGGAATCTATAGATTCCTGCTCTATTTACCTAATCGCAACGATCTAAGCCACGTGATCGCTTAGCAAGTGGATATATAGTAGAGGATTTTATTTTAAGTTCTCTTTAGTAGTTATCTAATCAATACACCTATTTTAACTAAACTAATTAGGTCTCTCTAGCTTTAACACTTATATATTGTAGCTACATAGTATCTAGTTTATATAGACCTCTTTTCTCTTACTACGTAGATAATTATAGAAGAATAGTTTAGTTAACTTTTTATACTAAATAAGAAACTAGCTAGTTTAGTAGTTATACTAGTAATCTAAGAGAAGCTTAAGTTTATTAAGATTACGCGTAATAATATTTCTATTAGCTAGAAGTAGGCGGCGCTCTGCTAGCTCTAGGAGGCGCTAGAATTATAGTATAGTATTAGGCTATACAAACTAACACGTAATAATAGGTAGAGTAGATAGTTAGAATATTAGAGAATAGCATAATATAGCTAATATAGCTAAGCTTACTAAGTAATTATATAAGTATTATATAAGTATCTTAGATTATCTTAGAGGCTTTATATTAGTATAAGTAGACTTACTAGGTTCTTTTTTAGTATTACTTAATTACATAAAACTAGTATTAGTACTAGTTAATAATCTAAAGAACTATTAGTAACATAGAATAAATATAGAGCGCGTTGTAATAAATACGCGCGTAAGAATAGTTATTGTAGTAATTATAGAATATAGCGTAAAGTTATAAGGCGCAAATCTAGGCTTATATTAGAGATTTTTAAGTTTACTATTAGGTCTAACATAGTAACGCGTTGTTACGTAATTTTAAAAAAAGTACACTATAGGTTCTGTTTCTTAGGCCTAGAAAGAATAGTTAATAGATATATTAGTATATTTTTATAGATATCTTAAAGTATATAAAAGTTATAAGAAAGATATAAAATAAAGACAAGTATTCTTTAAGTAAGTAGACATTTTATATAAATACTATATAAAATATTTCTAGACTTATAGTACTATAGTATAATATTATCTTAAACCTAGAGTTTATCTACGTAGTACTATAGTTTAAATCTATCTTTAATTTACTTATTTCTAAGGCTAATATAAAGGCTTTTATTTAATATTATACTACGTTCTAACTTCTAGCTCTTCTACTAATAAGAGCTTACTTATTATTACTTTTTAAAAGCTTATTTATACGTTAATATCTTTGAAAAGAGAATATAGCTCTATAGCTTAACTATATATACCTCTAAATTAATGTCTAAGTCTACCTCTAAGTCTATAAGAAGCTCTATTACTATTACTACTTAGAATTATATTATTAATGCACTAGATTTATAGTAAACGTTATAAATATGTTTTTATTAATTTCTATAGCTATATATAGTAGGTACAAGGTATTTAGAAAATACACTTACATTAAGAATAATATATTTAATTACCTAACTACGTTTTATTACTCTGCTCTGCATTAACACTCTGCTATAATAACTTTCTTTTTTCTAGCTACTTCTAAACTGGTAATAACGATCTACGCTAAAATCTTACTTATTATAAATCTAGTCTTAGTATAAAAGATAAAATAGAAGTATAGAATTATAAGTTAAGCTAGCGCTAGATAGTAATTAAATTCTTAAAAGTAGCTTACTAATAGTTATATAAATGGCTCTAGCGCTTACAGAGCTTAGAACTCTACTTAATAAAGTTATTAACTTAGTTTTTACTAATAGAAGTGCTTTACTACACTCTAAGAAGTTTATTTACTATTTCTTATATAATAAATCTTAAAAGCGTAAAACTTTATATAGACTAGTTAAGAACTTTTTAGACTATAGCCTTCTCTTCTAATTTTGTTAGGCGCTTTAAGTTTACTTTATAGTTACGTTATATACGCTTTCTAATATATTAGTTACTAATAGTCTTTTAAAGTATATTATATATACTTATAGCGTAATTTATACTTTAAACGCGTAACGCTTTAATATTAGAAATAGTAAGCTATATATTAGTTTTAGCCTAAGCCTTTTAGCTATATTATAGTTAAGATATTACGTAATAATATAGCGTAGGTAGTATACTAGTTTAGCGTTAGCTACTTACTTAGAGTAGCTACTCGCTTATAAAACACATTATATAGAATAAGAGAATTTTAATAATTAGTAAAGAGCTCTAAAAATAACTTTAAAGAAGCTTAGAGCACGTAGTAATATAGAAAAAGTAAAAAAAAAGAATATATATTAAAATAGGTAAACTATTGTAAAGATACTATAATTACTATAGTAAGATAGAATATAACTTACGTATATATAAAGAGGATATAGTAGAATTTCTAGATTAACTTAGTTTACTATAAATATTAATTACTATTTAAATAGTACTATACAGTAGTGTATAGTTATAGTTTAAGTATAGTCTTAGCAAAAGTTAACTATTAGCTTGTACTAAATACTCGCCATGCATCTACGTTAAATCTTTATTTTAGGTAAAAGTGATTTTAAACTTATTGCGAAGACTCTATCTCTTCTCTTATAGCTAGACAGTTATAGTACTATTGCTCTGTGTGCTTTGAGAAGTGCGGCTCGAAGTGTCTGTTGATGCAGCCGCGAAGGATCTAGTGCCAGACCAAGTGGGCCAACGACAGACGGGGCGGCACGGACAGATGACCGTCTCCGGAAACCGTCATGCCGGCAAATGCGATAAGCACGCAGGCGACAATTGTTTGGTAAACGATGTTCCAAATGTATTGATCGAACATGGCCTCTTTGCGATTCGCGTTATTGAACACTTCACTGGGTTGCATAAGTAGAAGATGGTAAGGGGGCTGCTGACATCAGGCCTGTGTGTCACAACACAGCTGCTCCAAAATCCAGATATCGTTGAGACGACTAAGTACAAAATGATCGAGCGGTAAAACGAGTCATGTGCATGTCGGCGCATGGCGCAATAGGAAGGCAACAGCCGCACCGAACAAAGGCTATCGTGCAAAAGGGTCGAAGGATTGTAGTAGAAGGCTGCCCCGCGCCTCTCTCTCTATCCTTTGCCCAACACTGCGGAACAACCTAATCGTCGCCAGACATGTCAACACCTGTATCAGGTATTCTCGAGCGTATTGCGGCGGCCGGCAAAGCTTACGAAGCCGATCGAATCGGCTCGCGAGAGAGTCTCATCGAGCTTGGCCGAGACCTGGTTGCGGCGCTCGAGATCCCAAGTGAATTCCTGCAGAGAAGCTTCTGGGCCGAGGTTCGTGACTAAACCTGTATTGTTACCAACATACTGAGAAATGTATAGCCGGCATTGGCAGCGCACTGCAAGTTCGCTGTTGAAGTCAAACTCTTCCAGCATCTAAGAGATGCAGACGATGTAGGAGTCAGTCCTGGCGATCTTGCTCAAAAGACGAGCGTTGACCTTATTTTATTGCAACGAATCATGCGTCACCTCATCGCGATGAAGATCGTTTCCTTCTCGAATGGCAGGTTCTTTGGAACCCGTCTGAGCCACGAACTTGCATCGGACAACTATCAGAAGAGCATTGACTTCTGCTACGACGTGTCACGACCGTCCTTCAATGGTTTCCCGGGGTACTTCAAGAAGACTGGTTACAGGCTACCTGCGACGCCTACAGAAGGACCATTGCAGGATGCACACGGAACCGACTTGCCCTTTTTTCCATGGTTGGTTGCAACGCCTCCTCATCTCGATGAGTTCGACAACTTCATGTCGGTGTATCGTGCGGGTAAGGCGAATTGGTTTGACCCCGGCTTCTATCCGGTTCCGGAACGTCTGATCAACGGCTTTGATCCCAGCTGCAGCGAGGCCCTTCTGGTGGACGTCGGCGGCGGTCGTGGTCACGATGTCCAGCAATTCGTGGCGCAGCACCAACTTCATCCGGGCAAAATTGTTCTTCAGGACCAAGAGCCAGTCATCGGGGCCATCAAGGATAAAGAAAGGCTTCCCTTTGAGAGCCAGGTTCATGACTTCTACACGCCTCAACCCATCCAATCAGCGAGGGCATACTCACTGCACTCAATCCTCCACGACTGGAATGACGAGAACGGCGTCAGGATTCTCGAAAATCTGAAGCCGGCACTGAAACCTGGCTACTCGCGGGTGCTGCTGAACGAAATTGTGCTTTCGGAAGAGAAGCCCACCATCGCCGCCACCTCCATGGATATGATGATGTTAGCACATCTTTCTGTGCGCGAGAGGACGGAAGCAGAGTGGAGAGCGATAATCGACAAGGCTGGTCTGAAGTTCCTAGCCATCTACAATTACCCTGGGGTCGCTGAGAGTGTCATCGAAGCGGAACTTGGGGAATGAGGCGCACAGCTGCGAGAACGAAGAGAACCCGGTACCAGGTTTCCTGTAACTAGGAAAGTGCGATGACATATTTTGTATATTGTGTGGAGATGGCAAGCGCGCGGTGGTTCAAGTCAGTCCATTGTTGGAAGGACCTCGGAGCAGGTAGCGCCAACCGAATATCTGGACACGGACTAGGTGATTAGTTCGTCGCTTTCGTGTCAGACACGTGTGCGCGCCCTGATAACAAACAGATACATTGATGTATTACATATGGATGATTTCAAGTTCTGAATTTATCTTCATCTCGGTCCCTCTGTGGACGCAGACTCCCCAACCCGACCTCTGCGCTCTGGATGTTATCCAGGTACAGAGCCTCTAACAAAAGAGTGAAGGTGCGACCTGTGGCGCTCGTCGCTAGTCTACATGTGCACATATACCAACAGACTAGGCATTACCACAGAACTACTCACAAAAATAGGCCCCATCACGATCATGGTACATCAACCATCTGCCCATAGGCTCCAGCAGTGCATGGTGCCGTCAGGCCATTGAATGCCATTTCCATATTGATGGTCAACGGGAGATGAACTTGAAACGGGAAACATGCTGGTGGTATGAGCAAACAGACGCTGATGACGCTGTACAGTCGCTCGGCGTAGCTGCTCCTCCGTGCTGCTGAAGCTTCCACTTCTGGACGCGGCCTCCACATCTCACGATTAGTATGAGACAGCTCACGACCCATACGCCCTCATCTTCTATCGGCGCTCGTGACAGTAGCGGTGCCATGTCGTCGAGTACTCGTCATCACTGATTGTACAGCAGCGCGAGCCGTGTCAATGTCCACTTGATTGAGATGACGTAGTCCTCTAAGGCGACGAACCATGGAGCGAGCTTGCGCAAGGCTATCAAACCGCTGCTCTAACAGCCCATGGTCTTCGATGCGAGGCTGGTTGTTGAGAGTCGCGTAGATCTCGTGTAGTTGGTCATCCAGTGCAGCAAGTTCCTCAGTGGAGTCGTCGGTGGGCGAGGACACTCGAGCACCGCGTAGAGGCAATGTTCCATGACTGAACATCGTTTTGGCTGAGTTCGCACAAGTATGTCCGGGCGAGCGCATAATACTTCGAGGAGTCGGCGAGGACGGCTGTGGACTACAGGGACCAGGAGTTGTGGGGTCTCGTGAAACACGATCTGTTTGAACTCCCTCTGCAAACTGAACATAAAGTGACGGTGAGTTGGTGCCATGCGCTTGTCCTATGGTCAAAGTGTCGAAGTCGACCGCCAGACGATCGATTGTGTCACCTCCAGATTGACGAGTAGGAATGCCACGAACAGCCGTACTCCTCACCCTGGCCGTGTTCAGATTCTCCATAGTACCCTGTAGAACCTCGGCGAAACCGGGAACATAGCGGCGCTCATTGCTCAGTAGAGATGCAATATGCCCACGAACCTGGTCGCGCTCGTTAGGCAATAGCTCGTTGCGTAACCAGTCAGTTGGAACTGTGTGCACGGCATTAATGCTGCGATCGTTACCCAACGGGATATCATCAGCATTAGCTGCCCTGCTGACAGCCGCTGCCGTACCGTATTCACCGTAAATGATGTGGAGTGTATGATACCTGGAAGCCATTTTATTGTTGTCGGAGAGATTGAGCTCGTATCTGGTCTACACCGTGGCCAGAGTTCATCAGTCGGCCTCTAATTATAGAGGAAGCCAATATCTCTCCATGTAAGACTGGTTTTGAGGTTGGGTTTTGAATGGGTTGATAGCGAGCTGATTACACCGAAGTAGCCCGTTCGCAGCTTGTCAGTATCTTTCAAAGCTGCAGTCTATACTAGAGTTGAATCGGGGGTAGAACAATCGCTGGTCTTATGTGGAGAAGGCGCTCTTATGTAGCTATGGCCGAGCGCGTTACTCCTTGCCGCATGGGCTTACCTCGAGGACCAAACACCACACAAAGATTCTCAGTGTTGGTGCTTTGCTTCACGGTGGGTGAAAGATATTTATGGAAGGTCCTTGCCTTAAGTACATCTTGCGGCCCCTATGGTGAAGAGAGCCGGTCACAGATCAGTCCCCATTGCCAGTGGCAGGAAACTATACGACAGGTCAGGAACGCTCTGTCAAGACGACCCGCGCTCATAAGAGACCCGTTCCATGTGTTCAGGAGCCAAGCAACGAGCCCACCTCTCCTTCCAAAAGACCAAGACTCCAGCCGCCAACCCCAGAACCCGCAATCAACAACGGTGAAGGATCATCGTCCGGGGCAGTACAGCCGTTACGCGCACCAATACCAACACCGCCGCACACTGAAGATCGCATAACGAGTCAGGTTGCGCCTCCTTTGCCGTTGCCTGGGGATGCCCTATTGCAAAGCCGCCTCGATGAGCACCGTCGTGTCAAGGTAGTAAACTACATGGGTTATGCTTCGGGCACCTATAAGGCGCAGTGTCAAATGCTTGACAGAGATTTTCCTGAACTTCAGGCGGAGCTTAGCATGAGGATTCAGCCTCGCGATGTTCCTTCTTCTCACACGTCTGGTGTACTGAAAGCCTACATCGATCTTGGCATTTTTACGGGTCCGGCTATCCTCGGACTGGACGATGATCGAATCACTGAGTATATTTGGGCCACATCCAAGGACAGACATGACAAAGCTATAACCAAGCGTTTTGGGAAGCAAGAAGTTGAAAGGATCTGCCAGGGTGCAGTAGAGGTGGCCATGAAGAGAGATCCGACACTGGAACGATGTAACGTTGAAACCAAAAGCCTCGACGAACTTCCTGATCTTGAGACTGATACTCCCAAAACGCCGCAATTCATCTTTGAAGCTCGGCTCGACAATCCGAATAGCGAAGTCTACTTGACGGGTACATACCGCATTGCGTTTGAAGCGATCAACATGGACGCCCGTTGTTGGAGCGTTATGGAACGATGAGGATACCTGGAGTGACTATAAAAGATCATGAGTTCACCGGCTTTAAGATCCTTAAGTACGAGCGCGAAGCCCAGAAAAGCAACTTCATGAAGTAGAAGACCCACCTTCCCCAGCGCTGGAAAGACGTTCCTACTAGCTCCGTGCACCCATTGCCGTAAGATGATGAAACCTAGGTACCTGAGCGCAGGCGGGGGTGATTGTAGGGATAAAGCGTCCTCATCTTCGACATGTCTCAATCCAGCTTGGACGCATGCTCGGATCAGTGCGGTGTCTGATCGGTTTGGGCCATTCGACTAGTCGCACGGAGGATGCCTCTAATGCTGTTATGGTTTCGCCTTTCGGCCCGTCGCTTCTACCCCGCTTTTCCGCGCGATGCCGACGACGAAACAGATCTACGTGCAGACCCGTTCGATCGTAATCCAGCTGCATGTTCAATCGCCCGACTTCCGATTACTGGATACAAGTTTGGTGTCCTAATGAGTTTGACTGCTTTCATATTCGCATCGTCAGCTACTGTTCGTCTAGCGCCGTTTGGATATATGCTCCATTATCACCGCTCGAACTAAGACTCAAGGAATGGGCCTAACAGGTGTTGAAGACGAAATCGACTTCTTCAGACCAAGACTGTCTCCTTCTAGTCCTTCAAGCCACATTTGATGACTCTAGCATCGGCATGCGTCTGCGCACATACGCTGTGGGACATGATGCGGAGTTGCGATGGAGAGCCGGAAAAAGATAAAGTTGGGACATGTAAGCTCACAGCCAGTCTGCTTCATCAGATCTGCTTCTCTTCATATCTTTACTTGCTCCACCTTCATTATCGTTTCTCCAACTTGGTCCCAGTCTACTATCATCACGTGACGTTGAATCTTCACTGCGGATCCGCTTACAGTGATAATATCCTAATTTCGACTGCGAGGACTGGACTACCCTTCATCATATTACAACTTCGACCTTATTAACACATATTGTTTTCTCGTCGTCGTACCCTTATCATGCCTGCCGCAACCCACTCTCTCGAGACCATGGTTCTCCAAGCCCATCGCGCGAAAGGCGTACGCTATCCGACAGCCTCTCAGAAAGAATGCTTCAAGACCTGGTACTCTTATGCGCTTCGTCAGGGTGAAGTCACGAAGACTTCCCCAAAAGCAATCGAGGAGCACGGAAAACATCTCAAAGAGATCACGGAAGCGGCGCCAGGTGGGCGAACGTATCTTTGAGCTGGTATGTATCCTAGCTTGCACGAGCCCTTGAACCTAGCTAATTGAAGTTTCTAGATTCGCGTTCGCGCAAGCTGGCATCATCCGTCTCTTTACTGGGGGTTACACTTTCTCATTTCAGCCGTATGCTATTAATTCTTCAACCTCGGGTCCTCTATTTGCGCTTTCCATGACATCATTTCCAAATTTACTTGTTTTTCTTGCGATTTCCAATTAGTTCGAAAATTCAACAATTTATATGTGTCTATATCTTCTGGGTGGACCTGGGTTTCCTCACCTATCCCAGCAGTTTGTCAAGTTGCTGATCGTTACTTGGTGTAGCTACGCTATGAACTTAAGCGCAAAATCGCGTCTCTAACCACCGTACGCAATCTCATGCACCTTTTCACATCTCATGCTATAGTTCCTTTGTTTTCTCGCGCTGTACATGGATCCTTGGCGTTTCCAAGGTTGGCGACAGCTGGATCAACCCGCTAATCTCTTCATCAAGGTCAAGCGTCTGACAGATTGCGCGCTTTCCTCCGCGAACCTTGTCCCTGCCGCTGCTTGCAGCTTGTTTTGCTCGTAACAATCATCAAGCTGCGTTACAAAGGGGATCCCATAACGCGACTTCAGCGGCCGCTCCAGGCCCTGAATCTATGGAAAACCTTGGATCACCTGTAAGCGCTTGGGCCCATACCATCTGCTGCTCTCAGGATCGATCTTATGCTTCGACAACGAGGCATGCATTTCAAACACGCCTCTGCCTCCAATTATATCTCTAGGCATAATCGCTGCCATAATGCTGTGTTTTCCTCAAGACTTCAACCCATTACTGCGAAGGTTTTAAGCATTACCTCAATGCGCATCGATGTCTACAGAGGATCTATCAGGGGATCACAACTCTTATACCTCAGTCAGATGACTAGCTCACCTTCACCTTCACTGTACCGCGTCTCAATGATGAAACGGCTCGCTATTGTGCCATTACAAGGTGCAAAAGCTCTGATCGGCGACCGCAACTACCAATAGAATCTTCAGGATAACGCATGTGTGACGTCGGTGTATACTGCGAAGGAAGAGCGCGCGACCCGTCAACCATGCTGGTGAAATTTCGTCCCAGCCACTTTCAAAACCTCCGCTACTACTTTCTACGAAATCAAATCCACCAGGAGTCGCAGTTTGCTCCTGCTCAACATCATCTCCCATATCCGCTGCCTGGTCAGAAGTAGTCTCAACCACAACATCGCATATACACCGGCGCCCACGTTATAGTTTCCACACCTAGAAGAAAGAATATCATCTACGAAAAGATGAGCGCTAGTCATCTTGCCTCCGTATATACCCCTGGCCAGCTCCGACGCCTCGACGACCCGCCGAATGAGCTGATTGTTATGATCGCGAGGAACACGAACGACGCCTCCGACATCTCATCGCTACGTCACGTGAACAAATTCTTGAACGCAGTCGTTCCCAAATGGCTAATTTCCGAGACGGCTTGTTACATAATGCCTACGTCTGGTGGCATTTCGAAAATGGCGCAAGCAGTGCAGACTCAAAGCGCCAATCCTAGCTGCAGTCTAGGACGTGTTCCAGCGGTAATCTTTAAGAACGTATGGCTGATACCGCCTGATGACTTTGGGTTCCATGTAGATCTCACGGATCACGATCATTTGGAGGCCGACATTGACGATGAGCTGCCGCCAACCTTGAACACTCATCTCCGCTTCATAGATGCGTGCCATGAAGAGCGCGAATCTGCCCAGTTACACGACACCCTGGCGCACACTCTACGAAGCTTTAATGGCGTCAAGGAAATGATCCACGTCCCTGGTTTCCACAGCTCTCGACCAGCTCAGGAGCGACCCTCTTGTGGAGAGCTTCTATGGACAGTGCTGCTGTATAACGACCATGATTCAGAGGATTTTGAAGACGAAATGTGGAGTCGTCGGCGCATGATGCTCGAGCCATATCAAGGGCACTTCAAATCCGCTGGCGCCAGAATGTTTGATTACGTTGTCGATGCCGTTCTCCGCAATCCCAAGCGCAAAGACAAACTGAAAGTTTATATCGAAACGCATTCAATCTACGCGCTGGCTAATTTCGATACAAGAGCGACACCGATACCCGCTAGTCAACTCGGAGATGTAATTGAGATATAGTACGTTGGCCATTACATGTCAATTCCGGATGCCATAGCCCTCGACTTAGTTGTTCTAAACAATCAGAAGATCAACATAGCAACGCATTACGCGGGTGTAACGCATCTTTCTATTAGCAGAGATGAATTGGGCGACCAGGGTTCGGTTCACATAGGGCTCTTAGGCGGTCCATCACACGCCCCCGACTGGTCGCGCCTGGACACGCTACACTTCGACGACACACGGCAGAACGATCAGTCCGCTACTTTCATTTGCCAGCAGAAGTGTAACCTCCAACTCCACAACGTCTACTAGGGCTGGAATTCGATCCAAAGCTTTTCCAAAGGCTCGTCACTCCGAGGTGTGAAGGCTACCGGTGTATTTGCCATCGGGGGAGTCAACGAGCATTCCAGCTACGTTTGGATCGTAGCAAGCGATCAGGAGGAAGCATTCGAGATTGCGACAAAGAATGTTGGGTACTGCAAGCCAATTTCAGGCCGTACCATTCCCTTCGTACTGCCATGCAACGTTCAGCGGTACATCTTGAGGGGAGGTGCATTGCCGTTCAGCAACGTAGATGTATGGGCAAACGACAGGGAGTTGTAGAGTCTCAGATCGTTTTGGGAAGTATGTCGTGCGTATATCTGTTTACGCACATCCAGCGGGTGGCGGATAGTGCACGCTGCGCAGCCTTAGTTTCACCAATAGTACGAAACGTTGTTTATAGAAGCTGGTAAGCAGTGCAGCGTTCCAACAGCTAGCATAAATCTGCAAATGATTTAAAAACCAGAGTATTTCTTTTGGTATTCCGGGACTGTGATGTGGGATAACTTCGAAAATGATAGAAGCCCATAAATCGAACGATTCTGCTTTCAATTGATAACTGCAGATCTCTTGATCAGCTGTCCGAAAAGCACACGTGATCAAAACGATTCATCGGCTGCTGACTATCTCAGTCTGCCAAGGCCGCGTTACCTGCCTAGAGATAAGATAATCTAGACACGATTCGCCGTCATTTCCGTCGCGGACTCATTATTCTTTCCGGAAGACCCCGATATTGATCTCCTGTACAGACATGGCTTCCCACGACAGCGCAATACCTACCAATGGAGCCGCTGCCCACCAGCGCGCATATATCGACATGGCCGACAACTCTCAACTGAGATGACCCGTATACCTCCAGAAGTCCCGCTCCTTAGTCATACGATTCCGTACGGACCGCACGGTTTCGGCCGCACTTTGCGACGCGAATGACATTCGCAAGTCTGCCAAAAAGGTACACTGGCTTACCGGATATCAGATGCACACTGACTAATGCTGCGACAGGTGCCTTCACATGATTCCTCTCGGGGGTTTCCTGCTTACGACATCTGGTCAAAGCTGCAGGTCACAACTAATCTACACCCACGACCGGACGCGCGGATCTCTGGATCGTCTCCTGTGGGCCATCAAGCTCTCATGCGCTTACCAAGAACACCACATATCCTGGAGCCGCCTCGGACATCTGCCATGGCCGAACTAGGTGCTCGTAAGAACATTCTGCGCCGTCAGAGGAGAGTTCGTCTCCTGTCGCTCCCACGAGAACTGTTCAATAAGGTCTTCGATGTGGTCGAAAACCTTTCCGACATCGCCGCGCTTCGACTCACCTGCGTCGACCTCGGCTGCGGCAGACACACAGCTCTATACTGCACCTATCAACTCCTACCCACCCACCAGAGTATCGCAAGATTGCAACGCATGCTCGACTCCCCGACCATTGATATACGGCGAGGAATCGGGTGCCCGAAGCCAGGTTGGATCAAGCATCTTATCATCGAGGGCGCAGAGCCATGTGCTGAGCAGGCCGTGGAATCTTGGAGGTTGTATCATTTACTCCGAGATGCGCTACCTACGTACCACGGGTTCTACGTCGCAGAGTGGGCGCCAATGGTCGAGTCGAATATGGAGACAATTTTGAGCTTTCTCGTTATCCGACTAGATAATCTTAATGTACTGGGGTATTCCTCAAGTCTTCATGGTTCGAGAGGCTACGTTCAACCCAGTGTTGAAATTCGAGGTCAGGTCGTGAGGGCAGCTTTCGATAAGTCACCAAACCTCCAGCAATTCTCGGATATGATGTTCAGAGAAAAAGAACACAAGTTTGCGGTAGCTTGGTAGTCACAGGTCTCTGGCTTGGATCCGAGAGATTCTACTTCGTGGTGCGCGATGACCTTGCTCATCGAGCCACTTGGAAGACCAAAGAGACTTCAGAGGTGAAAATCAAGACGATGCTAGATGATGCTCTTATTTCACCCGTTGGCCACGCTGATGCTCGCTGCTGGGACTCAAACTACCTTGGCAGCCTTGAGGTCACGTACTTACACGCTACGGCGGGAAATGGGAAGGCTTTTAGCCACGATCTTGCAGAAATCTGCACATTCTCAGAACTGCATCACTTAGCCATCATCGGCGGTGAGCTATACCAAAACCGTTCACTCGAGCTCAAGAACCTGGGCACCCCCGACTGCATGCCTCAATAGCCGCGCATGAAGTCTGTCCGTCTTGAAAACATTCAAATAGATCCTTTGACCGCGGCGAGGCTCAAGTCTTCATCTGGCGTCAGTCTGGACTTCCGAAACTGTTACTGGCATTCAGAAACATTTAGTTCATTATCGGATGCAAGCTTGCTACAGTCTGTCAAAGCATCTGGTATCCGTGGACTTGATTCCGGGAAGTCATCGGTGCCCGGGATGTTTATTTTCCAGCATGGCAATGACAAGCTCATACTGAACGACACTTGCAAACAGGAAGAGAAGTATGCCTCGGCGATGCTTAAGACTGACGAAAATAATGCTGACATCTCCCACAACAGTCGCGTCTGGGTTGCCGCGTATGACCAGCAAGCGGCGCTGAAGCTGATGGAGCAGTACGCAAAGTATTGCAGCTCATTACACAAATCGTACCTCATTTCAATCGCCGAGCCCGAGCTGATGGGAAATTATCTTCAGCATGGCGGTGTCGACCCTTTGCACCGTGACAACGCCTGGGTATGGTATTGGCGACTATATGAGGCTACGCAACAGCTTGACGACCTGGACGAGTTGATGAATTCCTTCTGAAAACTACAAGCGGTTCGTTTTGATCAACCGCGGATTGCGCATTGCCAGTCACAAGTACGTTGTTCTTGTTGGGTCGCCGCGTACGGCCACACAAGCGCTAGGTGTCGCAATTGGTCATCACCATTTGCATAGATTGCTTCGTTCAATAGTGGGTTTCGAGACACTTGCGAGTAAAGTTGGTTTGCTGATGCTGGCTTGTTCCATGTCTAATCACTTGGTGCGTCGCATGAGGTGTGGGCGGTGGGTCGATTACGGTCAGGATACATGTAAGCCAATGAAAATATGGTAGTGAGCACATGTTGGAGTGAATGTTCACGGGCCAAAAAGCCCGGATGTGTTGATAAGACAATGCGCGAAGCACCAGACTTTGAAGATGCCCAGGTGTAGCGCCCCACGGGCGGCTGGACGCTATTGGGCCGAGGTCCTGGCAGCGCGTCATGCAGGTACCCACAGAGGCGGGGTACGCCTACTCATCCCAAAAGGGTGTCGTATCCCGAATAGCATACACATTGTCTGGAATCAAGTCGATCATTAATCATTGCTTACCACATAGAGGCTACGATCGTACAACGTAGGATCTACTCTGCTCGTTGTTACTTAACCTCCTTTTTTCCCAGACGAATTTGCCATCACAGCCATACATCCACAACGCGCTTGATCTACACCACGCAGTACAACAGCATACTACCATACTACGCAAAAAATGGCGCCTCCATCTTTCCGTGATCTTCTCGGCATGCCCGCCTCTACAGCCTCGACTAGCGACTCTGCCCTTCTCATCATTGACGCTCAAAACGAATATGTAAGTAACAATCTATGGCTATCTAGCAGTCTGCATGCGTTTGTCTACACTTTTAAAGACGGCTGTGGTCGTTTCATCGACAATGATATATCTCGTATTGAATGCAGCGACTCATTTCTGAACGTTCAATCTCCTTCTCGCCCACACACGTTCTCTTCTTGCCAGCCGCATCGCTAACTCTATTGACTAGTCATCCGGCGCTCTCACCGTAACAAACGCTGCAGCAAGCGGGAAGGTCATTGCCGACCTTCTTGACAAGTACCGCAAAGCAAACGGCAAGATCATCCACATCTTGCACCAGACACCTGAAGGCGCACCCGTCTTCACGCCTGGCACTGACCTGGCGGAAGAGTTCAGAGAGGTCAAAGCACGGGTATGCTGGCCACTAAGGCGCTCTAGGAGGATTATTCGCTAACTATTGATCAGGACGGAGAAGAGAAGATCTGGAAGAACTACCCCGGATCCTTCGAACAAACATCTCTGCATGAGACATTGGAGAAGATGGGTGTTAAGAAGCTCGTCCTGACTGGTTACATGGCACACGTCTGCGTGTCCACAACTGCCCGTGAGGCTTTCCAGAAGGGATACGAAGTCGTTCTGGTAGAGGACGCGATTGGGGACCGCGATATTCCTGGTGTTAAGGGTGACGAGGTCACCAGGGTGGCATTAGCGGAGCTGGCAGACGTGTTTGGCACCGTTGTCAAGAGCGCTGACATCAAGTAGACGGATAAGTTATGAATAGAGACATCTAATTTCGTGTAATGACTACGATGCAAAGGCCATAGCCTACCTCAAGCACCGACACCCCTCAGTACAGTAACAGTATGAACATACCTCACCTTCCCCTCTTGGACCCTTATCTCGTGGCTGTCCGGCCAAGCTCCCAAGCTATCAAACTGGCAACTGACCTGCACACTACCTACACTCTCATCGATGACGTATCGTCTCATACCATTCGCCTTCTGACTCCCTCCGTGCGGAAGACTCGCTCCACAAGGGATTGTGTACATGCTTCCCTCCACCCTTTCACATTGCGTGCCCCAGGGGATAGTATCGGCGGCAGTAGCATTCGTCCACATGTCGAGGTAGGCGTCACCGACAGATTTGAGGAGGGAACGTGAGGGTCGCGAGGCGGCTGGAAGTGTAGACCACGATTCGGCGCGGATGTAGGAAAGAGTCTTCTTCGCGTCGAAAAACAGGTCGCCGGTTGTAGCCGCTACAGTATCGATGGAGCTGATGGTCGACGTGTCGTTATCCAGATGGCGGATCTGTGTGCTAACTACATGGGGTTTGCTCCCGGACGCACTGATCCACATCGTGTAGCTGGCGCATGCTTCGGTATCGGTGGAGGAGCGATTGAGGTCGATGGCGAAGGGTGTTGAAAGAAGGCCAGTCGCAATGTCGGAAGCCTTGTTGTTTTGCAGATATGTGAAGTTCGTGGGCGCAAGGTTGAGACTGTTAGGAGAGCCCGCAACCTGAGCCGCTAGATAGGAGTCTGCGGCTGCAAGAAGACCTTCGCGCGTGCATTCGGCCGATGATTGAGTAGCTGAAAGTATTCCGACTGTAGCCGTCAGCCATGGATCAGATGGGAAGTGCATTCTGTCAGAAGCAACGAAGGCTACTCGTAAAGTATCGAGACCTTGATATGACTAAATAGGAGGGTTATATATCGTTTCAGAGATCATCGCATGCACGTAGACTGCCGAAGATCTCAGGAGAGTAATGCCGTTGTGGCGGATAATTGTTCCTTGTGTAGGATGCCAATCTAAACCTATGCCTCTTAGTGGTACGCTCAAAGCGACTTAATGTGCTTGTATTGTCTTGTACACCTGCCGTTATGATGCGTCCGGCAGTCTGGCATATGCCGTCTTCGAGTATCCAAGCTGAACAGCGTATTGATGATCTTTCATTAGCCTTCTGAAACAGAAATGATGCAAGGCATCTTGCATTGTTCGTGAATGAGCTCTGCTTGATCGCTTTTCCACGTTTCGCAAGATGTGCGGCTGTGTCCAGCCTTCGTCCCAAGGTTGTCGAAAGTAGGTCGTTTTGAATCACTTTTTCAGCTTGGCTCCATGGTGTCTGATGTGGCGAACGTGAGCTGTAGTGAAGCGATCTTGCCGGGTTCGTGGTAGTCTCACTCCTACACAGGATGGTCCGACGAGATACAAGCATCGGCAGGCGCGGAATGTTTGAAGTAATTGTCGAAACCGTTACTGCACAGTGCCGATGATGATGAATAGCTCAGAGTTGTGGGATTCATGAGGTTTACCGTCAAATATATGCAATTGATTGTGCGCAGGGCGAGGGGAGCGCAGCCCCGCGCGAGATGGACGCGTCGCAATGCGCCAAGCCTCAAGGATCACGCCAACGGGGACCAGTGGCCAGCATCGTCACTCGAAAGGCATGTTGGTATCCTTCAACAATTCAGGGATGCATGCAAAGTAGTTCCGTCTCTGACTCGATATAAGACCACATTCGCAATGCCATCAGCGCGCGTTACCTCTTCTGCCGCCCCAGCCAGCGAGGGCCCATATGCCCTTGACCAGCGCATCCTCTCCGTCGTGACCTCGCAGACTCATCCGGCTCTTTCCCAGCTGCTGCCTTCGCAACTCGTCGTATACCCCCACCAGAACATCCTTGAGCTCGTCGCCCGGCTTGCCCTTCCAAGCCGCACCTCCCCCGCCAATCTTCGTACAACAACGCTCAACCACAAGATTCATGATCTCATGGCGCTTGGTTGGATATGGCCTCGGTGCAGGGAAGTGTGCGATACCCTGGCTGATAAACACGGTATAGAGGTGTAGCAAGGGGAAATGAGGCGACTCTATCTGTTGAGAAGCTTCGATGATGTAGCGCCACGATATGTCTACTTCGCCGATGGGTAGACAGGCATTTGCGCGCCAAACTAGCCTGTTTGCGCGTGGGTTCGTGGTCAGCCATTTCGGTAGCACAGCGCCTCCGCTGGCCATCAAACGTGCAAGCCGAACCAGCGGGATCGCGAGACCAGTCGCTATATTGGGGCGGCCCAGGGAGTCCCAAGATGCGGCCACGAGATTGTAGCAATCCAAAAGAGAGTCCTGCCGCCGGTCGTCGGGCGCGTTGGTGCGATGTGCAGTGTTGATGAGGGCAGGGATGATGGCTTGATCGAGTACAGAGATTACTGTGAAGGCACCGGTGGGCTCTCGTTGCCAAAGGATTTCCAACCCAGACCATACCTTCATCATGAAGGCGTGGAGGCGTTCGGGCGGCTGATCGCACAGTGCTTTCCAAATGGAGGCGACATCGAAGGGTGCACGCGGGTTCGGTCTAGGGACCACTACGTAACGGCAAGTTGGACAAGCATTTGAGTTTCCCCTACCCTCCTTCAGCCACTTCTTGATGCACTCATGACCGAAGATGTGTTTGCAAGGCAGCGCCACAGGCTGATGGATCGCGCTAAAGTGCTCGGTGCAGATGTTGCAGGTGTCTGCGGGATGCAGTTGCGTGTTGAGAAAGTTGTCCATACCTGCTTGAACGAGGGCTGCAAGTTGGTAGAGACTGAGTCGAGCGGTTGGCAACTCAGAGCTTGCAGTCGATAGACATGTTTGTGGAAACGCATCAGGTGGGTAAATCCGTTTGCAGTGAACGAGCGAACGTGAAGGAACAAAGGCATGTAAGTTTGCGACTTCATGCCTCTGTCGTGTGAATTCGATTTTGAATGCAAGTGGCTAACTCGTAAGAAGACACTGCAAATAGCTTCCATTCTCATAAGGCAGCTGTGTTGTGAAGAAGGATCTGGTCGTATGCGCTACCGATCGTCATGAACACCCTGCCTTCCTGAGCAGAACTCTATGTGAACATTCGGAGGCTCGTTTGCTGAACGAAGCAACAGTCACGGCTTCCATCGCCATGCGGGGTGCTTCCACTCAAGGTTCGCGATCTCGTCATCTGAAAATGACGCGAGCTCTGTAGAAGTTTCCACCTGCCTCTTCTCCCTCTTCCTGTTGTCGTGGCTCATCCAGAGCTTGGTGGAGATAGCAATGACGGTCCATGTTAGTGCGCAAGCCAAATTAATACCATTGCCAATGGCATAACGGGGAGAGTCGCCAGGTAGATACGTCCAGCTCGCAATGAGCGCGCCGACATATCCGAAGAAGACGTTGGTTCCAATGGCAATGCTGCGTGCAGAATCAGAAAGTACGTTTGCGCTGACTTGTGCGTTTGTCATTGCGGCCAACGAAAAGCACGTTGACGCGCAAAGGAAGATAGCCGCATATCGAACACTTGCGTTCATCGTTGCAAGAAACATCGCATACCCGGCAATCACGAACGGCCCTGTGAGTGCAATGAGTGTCTGCCGAGAGTTCATTTGCCAGCTTACGGTCGTGATGAGGATGGTGCAAACTGCACCAACGATGTACGGCGGCACTGTCAAGAGCTGTTGTTGAACGACAGTGCGAGCTGGGTAGATAGTCCGAACGATGGTCGGCAAGAAGAACGAGATGGCTATGACAGTGATACTGTCAAGCAGAAAGATGAACGATATCGCAAGCGTGACTGGGTTAGAGAAGCCACGCAGAAGCTTCGAGGTATCAATCTTGTCAAGCAGCTCGGTCTGATTGAGACGCTCGGATTTTATCCTGCCTACTACCATCCGCTTTTCATCCTCGGTCATCCAACGTGCGGTATCCGGGCGGTCAGTTAGTGTGAAAAAGGCTACCAAAGCAAGACACATGGTGACGATGCCTTCGATAGCAAAAATCCTGATACACGTTATTCTACGACTTCCAGCACTCAGGTTGTTTGCTTACATCTGCCAACCATGGAAAGAACCAACGGAGCTCAACTTCAGGATAGCCGAAGCGATCATGCCACCGAAAGCTCCAGCGAGAGGGGCCATGGATAACCACAGCCCAAGACGAAAGGTCAATTCCGACCTTTTGTACCATCGTGAGAGGTAGTAAACGCATCCAGGCAGAACGCCGGCCTCGAAGAGGCCAAGTAGGAATCGAACAGCACACGCCTGAGCGCGGGTACGTACGAAGGCTGTCGCGATAGAAACGGCACCGAAGCCAAGTGAAGTCAGCGGTAGAAACCATCCAGGACCTGGTACTTCATCAGAATCGAACCAAGAGCTTTCTTCGTCGTGCATACCGATTAATTTGCAACAGAGGGTTGCTGGTATCTCGAAGACTATGTACGACACATAAAACGCGGACAGTACGACGTTGTAGTCGTATCCCTCAAGGTCGAGATCCTCTTCCAAGCCAGCTATACGGGCGTTACCTGTTGTAATCAGTCCACTGGTATAGACAAGCCATGCGCAATATATCCTTACCGATGTTCGTACGATCGATGAAACACAGGAGATACAGTACAATGACGGTAGGCAGGACGCATAGGTCGACTTTCAGCAGTAGCTTCCTCTCCCGGCTGCTTGTCACCTTGGTCGGATTCGGCTCGTCGTGACCCGCGTCGCCCCTAACGGTCATCTCACAGGCGTGTTCCCGGTCCATAGTTGCAGGTTGGATGGTAAGTTTCAAGACGGAAAGCGACTAGAGAAACTGCGACGACGTGCTTACAAAGGTGGGGTGCTAGCTTTCGGAAGAATCGATCCTGGCTTGCATGGTATCCATGTCTGTGGACGGGTGGCAGCAACTCCAGCTGCAGTTTGCGGTGATACAAGATCGAAGCTAGCCGCAACAGGACAAGTGTCTGGACAACGAGGCATCTACGACTGCTCAGCAAACCTCGATGTCTTTGTCATAACCAACTGTCCATACCACAACACTCAATTTAATCCACAATGTCAATTCCACGATACTTTACTCCTGCAAGCAGCCAAAGAACCTTCGCCACAGCCTCTAGCTCGAGGCGCACAACTATCGCAATCCTACCTGGTGGATGGATGTTCACTGGGCAGCGATCCAAATTTCAAAAACCCCCGACCGCTTTCACACACTGTTGTGAAAGTCCAAAAAAGCTCTCGCGTTACCACCTAGCTGAGCGGGCGTTAGTTCATTTTCTTGACAGTTTACTCTAGCCATCGGACCAACTTCCAGCCGTCCGAGCTCAACCTCGCGCTTAGTCGGACCAACCCGAATCTCACTCCGCTTACGTCATCTTTAGAAGTCTCGAATGGGCCGCGACCCCGTCGCAAACATGCCTCGAAGAGTGAAGAAGTCTCATGTCTTCGCGACAAAGTCTAGACCAAAGCGGTCAGACACTGCTGCGAAGCAGAAGCGCCACTTGCCATTCAACACCCCATCTACACTCGAAGTTTCTCTTGATAGAGATGAACCGAAAGAGTTTCCTGACAGCGGAATATCTAGGAGAGCATCTTCTGAACTCTCAAGTCGTGATGGTCTGCTGCCTGAAATCTCTACGATGGCCACGACCCCTTCAATGAGTGTACAACCATCGACAGTCTTTACAGCATCGAACTCTGGGTGTATTGTTTCCAAAAGCCAAATGTACGGTGCTACCCACTACTCATATTCTGGATGCGCGAGTGATCAATCTGCAGTTCTGGAGCATGAGTCATGTCCATATGAGCCGGACCCTGCTACTTCGGAGATCCAAGACGTCACAAAACACGCCGCAGGGAATCTAGACAAGCTAGGTTTCTCGAAATTTTTAATACAACGCATGAGCGACAACAAACGCGCAACATCAAAGCTACCGAGACCGTCTTCCACGCACCGCACGACAAGCGCTTTCAGGTCGCTAGGCCCGAGCATAATGTTCAGCTCGCTCTTCGATAGTAGAGCCGACCTTGTGCCGACTCCCACTCCATCCACCAGGCAATTCACTACGGCTCAACCTGAAAATCAGAAAGTCGAACAGGTTCCAGCATATGGTACAACTACACACGCTGCGTGGTTCAGTAGCCCGGCCAACAAGGTTGTACGTGGTGTACCGATGGGTATCTCGCGAAGCGTCGCCGAACTGCAGCGTATTGCGCGGCCAACGACTTCCGTGCTGGATCTCGAGGCATCGGCCGTCACTCTTTTGGTCAACGAGTAGTAGCGGAACGGCAGCGTTGCGAATATTCTGGTCGAATCTTCCCTAGCCCAATTAAACTCGCATCTCGTACAAGAACAAAACTGAATAGGTCTGCAGACTACATTAAGATTGAGATGTGTAATGTGGGTAACCTACCGTAAATGTAGGCTCCTAGGTTGACGTGCTCGGTTTAACTGTCACTAATTGGCCTGCAGATGATGGCTTTTATTACATGGTAGCAGCAATTTTGATCTTGGGGATTGTTACGATTAAGCATTACGAGTTCTGTGAGTGGTTCGCTACTATGGGTCTTCGCCAGAGCATGGGAACCATGGTTATGCATTGGAGTTAACACATGAGGTATCCTTATAAAAGAACACGTCTTCGGTCATTTTTTCCTTCCAGCAACCTCACTTCAAAATACCAAGCCTACTCTCAAGCAAGATCCCAAAAGACACGTCTACGTCACAAGCGCATTCACACCACACCCACATACCATCCACCATGTCAGGCATCTTCAGCAAGCTCATGGCCTACTTCACTCCAGAGAATCCAACGTTCCGCATCACCACACTCGTCGCACCCGCAACATCACAACAATACTTCTCTGAGTACAGCTTCTCACACGCTGATCTGATTGGTATCAACGAAACCATCACGTTCGATGTCGACTGCGATAAAATCCCAAAAGCCATTCGCTGTAGCTGTCTAGACTCTGGACGCGAATGCAAAGCAGAGTACCTGAAGGAGCACTACGTTGTGGAATGGGCAGCGGGCAGTATCATGGGGAACGAAGAGGTGGAGATTGGAGGAGAGACTGTACGCAGAGAGAAAAGGGGACGGCCAAAGATTTGGCAGGGTTGGTGCAAGGATGGTGAAATGGTATATCTGAGCCCCACAGAAAGGCTGAGGTGTATCGAGGGCTACGATGAGCATGTGAGGGGGGAAATGGGGGGCGACCGGTTGAAGAAGGCGAACTCGTTCTATTTGGCACGTTAGTCTAGGGACAAACTAAACAGGCCTGCAGCCTGCGTCAACATAGAAACATGCAAAGTAGTTAACCCCACGTTGATGTAGGCTCTAGACTTGTTCGGTTTTTTTGATGAGGTGTTGGGGCAAGCTTATTGATTGTCCGTGCCAACACCATTCCACGATCCGGTATTGCGGATGGTTGTGAATGCGGAAGCGAAATGTTCACGGCTGTGCTAGCGCATCCCCAATCCCCAATCAAGCATTTACCATTGTCTTACACAACGCACTCGTGTGTCATCCATAGCCCTCTTCACACCGTACGTCACATGCGAACACTGATACCACCAAGTCTTTGTTTATTAAACGCACACATGGACACAGCCGCTTCTTCCTTATCATTCTTCGTACCGGGTCTGCTAGTACCGCGCCACCCTGTCTCGCGCAAGCTTCCAGAATTTTCCGACTGCTCACATACTCTTGTAGTCAGTTGAAACAAACACGAAGTCGAAAATGTCAACTTACTTTGATCCTCTAGGCGAAATGGAGCCGAGCACCACGAAGTACACCCTGAATGCCAGGGTCCCACCCAGACCGCCACCGCGCTGGTTGCCCAGCATATTCTCTAACGAACCATCTACGAACACAAATCTTGTTGCTGCCGCGCACAAAATGCCTGCATCGGATAGCAATACCTACTTCGATCTTTTCGAACTCAAAGACGTTGGCGTTCTAGCCACCAAGGCCGTAGTTGTACAGAGTATAGGGTTTCCAGTTGACATGAGGTGCGCGCATGTTCAGAAGGGATATCAGTGTAAAGAAGGTTGCTACTTTCTTGAGAAGGGTGGGGACGTGACAAGGTGGCGGTGCAAAAGGAAAGACTGTGAAGGACATGTATACTGTGGTAGAGTGATGACGGATGATGAAGGAAAGAGCTGCTTTGGTAAGAAAGGAGAGAGGATGGTATGCTTGCAGAAATAATCGGAGGCAATGTTCCAGATAGTATCTGTATAATAGTAATACGGAAAGTGAACGAATCAAGATGATATTATAAGCGTAGGTATTGAGTGATCATGCGTAGATGCATAAAGGGTATTCGCTAAGCCAAAACTCGTTCGAAAAGCGCAAATAAAGCGACTATCTCGCTACTAGAATTTTACAAGAAGAAAGCGGCAACAGCAGCACCAAGACCGGCCAGAGCTGGGACTTGGACCATGTAGGCAGCACCAGTGGCTACTTCCTCAGGACCGCTGGAGGTGGCGGAAGCTCCAGAGCTCGCAGCAGATTCCGAGCCAGAGCTGGCCGCTGCGTCGGAGTCGGAGCCGGTAGCAGTGGCAGATCCAGAAGCTGCGGATGTGACAGTGGAACGGGACGCTGTTACGGAAGCGCTGCTGGCCGATACTGATGCAGCTGCTGTAGCACTGGGAAGAGAGTCACCGCCCTCGGTGATGACGACGGGGAACATATTGAAGTAGCCTTCGGGAAGCACTGCGGTGAAAGAGAGAGCGGCATCCATTCCGTCCGGGCAGATATCGGTAGCATATTCTGGGTCCGCGCATAGGGAGCTCATTTCGGCTTCGAGGCCAATAGTGGTTTGAGTGCAAGTTGCCTCCGCTTCGTCGGTGTTCTGGCGCGAGCATGCGCCGGAGATTGTCACCTCGACGCCGTAGTCAGAATTGGCGGCCTCATATCCATAGTAGGTGTTGCCTCCGACAGTGATGGTCGCAGGGACATCGGCCTAGTCGCAGCAGATCAGTGAATGTTATCGACGAGTTCAGCTCGTTACTACGCACCATCGAGTCGTCTAGGGTGATACCCTGCACATCCACAGACAGGATAGTGCGGTCGTTGTCGACGCTGACAACAGAGGCCTCGTATGACACACCCATATCTTCCGTACCGGGCATCCAGACCTGAGCGGTCGTTTGGGCCGCAGCGTAGGAGGCGAAAAGCGCCACAGAGAGGATCTTTGACATCTTGCTGTGTTGATTGAGACGAGCAATATGGGGTATAGTGACAAGTATTAGATTAGAGTCTTTAAAAAGATTGGCAATGAACGACAGGCAGTAACGAGTGATGCTTGGCGATGAAGAAAAGGTTCGTCGAGTATGGGATATCTAGTCTACTTATTGGGGAGATTTGGAGGCTGATCGCTTAACTGACAGCGCATGATGCGGCACGCCTAACCGGCGCTGGCCCCTGAAGACTATCAAGCCGCCTTTCTAGGCACACCGGCATCTGATGTGGTCTAGCTACATCTATTCGCGGGACTGTTGCCTGGAAGAAATTGCGTGCAAATCCTCCGCAATCTTCTTGAAGTCGAGCCGAGTATGCTGTGGAGTGACGTCGATGTTGTGTGGTGATGCGCACGCGAAACCATGAGCTGACGTCGTTATGTTCTCGTACTCTATTAGCAAAGCTGGTCTACTACTTCAGGCTTGTCATGCTCAATTCGTTTTTGTCTTCACGCGTGTTGGCTCGATGCAATGGTGATGATTCGTGTATAGGCTAGGCTTGACAGGCGGAAAAGTTTGTGGCTTGCATCTTGGCCCATGCGTGTTTCGGAGCAGCGCTCTCTGAGCCAGTCCATGGGTAGCGACCCTACCGAGGCCGCAAGCGAGAGCAGGTGTGTCAGCCTTATGCAAGCTCCGGTCGTTCGGGAAGGCCGCAATTTCGAAAGTGCGTGAATTGGGACAGATTTTGCGAGGTAGAGTGCCTAAATGAAGTTGGAGAAGCGGGTGCGTCAAGCGCTACTGACATAACACGACCTCGCGATTGTCGGACAGCTGGGCAGGGATCTTCACAAGCTTTCCGGTCGCATATATCGTCACACAACACATCCAACCCTTCGTACGATAACACGCATTGTGTAACTAAGTGTGCATTACGAAATGTGTAAATTGCAAAGAAAAATCAAGGGTATCGCGCTCACAAAAGCAATACAACGCAGCACAAACGCCGGGCCTTCCAGACAACCGTCTCAGCCATACCCGCCGGGTGAGACAAGCTCTCCCAGCCCACCGAAACCCCAAGTCACTGCCACCGTCACACCGTATACCACTGCCTTCACGTGCCCTCTCGATATTACCCCTCGGTCGACGCGAATAGGTATTGGGCTCGAGGTCGTTTGGGAGACCGTAGTGTGGCATCGCCCTCATCTTCCATCAGTCGCGAATTGTAGTATTCTCGGCCATCTCAGGCGTTGTCTTGGTAGTATTGAGCTCCACGGCGCATACCACTCGAAAAGTTGTAGTCATCGTCGTCGTCATCCCTTGCGCGGAGGAGATCCTTGGACCAGCCCTGGAAGGGCTTTTTAAGCATCGACTTCAGAGACGAAGAAGTCGCAAGTGCATGATGCGTGCTTGGTGAGGATGAGCGCTCAACTGGCACCGTCACGGAAGAGCTGCGGCTCGATGGCTTGGATGTTTGCGCGACCATGTTGAGATTATTGAGATTGAGTGTGAGATTGGATAATTGAATGAATTGGAGACTTGTAGGTTCAGAAGGAGAGAGGAGATGATTGCTAATGTTCGCTTGCTTTGACAGACAGCTTCCCCCAGCTGTCGGTCTGGCGCCTCACTATATACTCCTCCTATCGCAAAGTCGAAACGCATCGCTCCCAACAATTGTTCCACCGAGTCATCGCCGAAAAACCTCATACCGAAAGACTGCACACCTCGATAAGAATGACCCACTGCACTCTTGCATTTTCAAGACTGTAACTAAGATCATTGGTCAAGAAGCAGGTTTTCTTGCTTTAGCCTGAGTGAAACATTGCACATGTGGCGAATCGGATACAACTCGGACTTTCGGAGGCGGTCGGCGAGGCTGAATTCGGGACACTCCGGAATGCACGAGGCATGAGAATCTGCCAAGCACACCGGACGATCACAAGCTTGTCAAAACAACATGACCAAGTGGGAATGAAAAGATAATGCTCTCTAGTCCTGGAAATTTGGGCCTCGTGTACCAAATTTTTAAGACAGGACTGCGACAAAGACCTCTGGCCAGGAGACTGCTTGGCGCGACTATGACGTGCGATCACTCGAACAGACGCATTCAGCTGAGGGTGACGAAACTCTGCTGTGGTCAGCAGGCGTACTCAAATATACTAGATGCGACATCTACTACGTTGGCGAAGAGGGCGTTCAGAAGTAGGTCGAGCAGGTTGAACCATCAAGGATGCTATACCGTAGCTGCACCTTCTCAGCTTTGGTGATCGTAGGATGCAAAGTCATGCACACCGGTAACATCAGAATCTGTCATGAATACATACCAAGTCAGGGAGGCAAATCACAACACGGTTCTCCTAAAGTTCAGAAAACCCCACATCCGCGATTCGCAGTGAAGAAATCGAGGCATTTGTGATCCGAGTGGATAAATCACAGGATAATGGAGGAATGACCGGTCGAGGTGATTAGAGTCGTCGAGCGCACGTACACTCGATGAGTCCCCCAGGTTTAGCCCATAGACTGACTGCATAAAAACAACATGGACGAACATTGAACAACGAGATATCGTTGCAAAGATACCCCAAACTACTACTCTTGTTACTTCTTATCACATCGATCAACCGCGACAGTAATGCCGACCCGAGCGACTGACATCGAAACCTTCACGGTGACTGCAGCCCTCGCGCCACGCTACAAGGACCGTCCATGCGAAGACATAAGTATCCTGTCCCTCTCCTCACCCCCGGACACGCGAGAGTGCAGTTATACGCCCGAAGAACTCCTCAAAGATACATGATGCAGCCACCTCTACCCAACGACACCAACCCCACAAAGCGCGGCGATAAGTGTACGAATGCATCTTGCTACGTCCTGACACTATGGGACATCGAGAGAGGAACTCTGAGGTGGGCTAATGAGACGAAGAAGGGTCATGAGACTATCTGCAAACGTAACGGTCGTGAGCGGACTGAGCTCGACCGGGTAGAGGGGTGTTGGGACGACGTAAAGAACGGAATATGGCGAGACAAGCGGCTACGATAGCTCTACAAGATGGAAGGAAGGGGGTTTTCAGGTACTCTATAAGAGTGATTCGTATATGAGAGCCAATATATGTACGTCGAAGAGTATCCAATTAGACCACTACAACAAGAACCGAAATATCCTTAGGTCAACAGGTGCGAAACTCGCGAATACAGGATGCAACAACGTTGGCTTGTTCTTTATCAGCTCACACATCACCACGATATGCTTTGTACGTCTCCTTAAACGTTCCGTGGAATCCAAAGCTCATCGGCCCTGTCATCTCAGCTCTTCCCATCTCCGTCAAGTCCTTGGCATTGAGCACAAGTAAGTAGCTCTTCTCCGCATATCCATCCAATACTACACTCAACAGCACACCATCGTCTTCTTCCACGCCTTCAGGGTCAGCGATAAAGATTGCTTCGCCAGGTGTATGGCCATCCACTTCCCAGTAAATAGCTTCCTGAGTCTTGTTGTCAAACTTGACGAGGCCGTCGAAGAACGAAGACCTGAGACGATCGGCACATCCATATGTGTAGCGATGGCGCCGGGTGAGGTATGCAGGGTTGAGCGTCGGCAACTCCATTGACTTGAACTTCTCGGCCTGAAAGACAAGCTCAGCGGGCATCGTGTCAGAAACACCAGCATTGACGCTTGGAAGGCGGAATTGCGCCTGCATCGGTAGACAAGGCCTGCGCTTCTCACCCTCATATTCGGGCGTGTCGATGGAAGAGATGATGTTGTCGTAGTAGAAGCGCTTGACGATGTCCAGGTTCTCAAACATGCTGAGCTCGGTGATGATATCGGTCTTACTTGGGTCAGAAGCTGATGGCTCTTCCCAGGCGTTGATGCTGTGGAAGCAGAAGAATGGCATGCTTTCGTACGTTGCTGCCAGCCCCTTGCCTTCGCGGCGGTCGACAACGTACCATGTTGCTTTGGAGTTGGGGTCAAAGGGTGCGATAGAGTCGACGACGTTCTTGTGGTACATAAGCGAGATGCCACTCCATGTGATGTGACTGTTCCAGACACAGAGAATGACGTAGTTCTCAGTTAAGAATAGAGAGTGGATGTATGCAGGCATGCCATGGAAGGTAGCGAGTATGTCTGTCTCGCCGGACGATGCCGAGACGCGGAAGATACGGTAAGTACTCTTGTATCCAAAGTCGAGATTGAAGTTGAACATGTCACCCGTCTGGGGGTCAGACTTGGCGTGGGCGGCAGAGAAAGGCCCTTTCAAATCCGGATGAAGAAGTTCCTGACGTGCATAACCGCGCGGCTCCAACGTCTCTGGGTCGATCTCCTTAATGGCAGTAGAATCTGTTCGGGCATGTAAAGTCTCAATGCCATTAGTGTGACCATTGGTCGTCGGTTTCGCGTCTTTGGTAAGTTTGTCACTTCCTGCCATGTTTATGGAGAGTGTAACACCAACATTACGCTCATTCTGTCCTGCTTGGAACATGCTCATGACCTACAGTGGTGGACGTACGATGTAAGTGTATGTCTCATCCGTATCTCGTACAGTCAGGACTTACCTTCCAGAAGAAGCTCTCGCATGGATCACGCTTTGCAGCAAACGTAGTACTGTCCAGTTTACCCGTCGTACGAACAATCTCGAGGTACTCATCCACTGTGCGCCGCGAACGGTATGCAACCTTGGCTGGGCCGTCCGCGTCCGGAAAGTCGATCTGGAAACGATGGACACATGAGAATCCATCAAACCAATGTCTTGCTGCCCAGATCTTGCCGTCGTTCGTCTTCGCCTTGTAGCCGAGTGGACCTGTGCGATAAAGTACACCTGCAGCATGCCGTGGGATGGTGCCTTTGACGGTGAGCTCAACGGGCTCGTGCTCTTCGTAGTCCGTGTCGAAGCCCGCCGTGTTGGGCCAGACGTCAGATGTTGCGACGACCATACTGACGTTCAGCTGACCAATTATACGGCGCGTAATATTTAGTGACAAAGCAGCAAGGTGCCTCGATATGCCGTAGGCGAGAGATGTACGTCGTGCGAGGTAGAGATGGGCCAATCGTATAGCTAGGAGAGTGGCAATGGTACGAGTCAGACAAGCGTCGAGAGAGAACTGTAATGAGTCGGGAATGGATTGAAGCCTTGTTGAAATTGAAGCCGAAGTTACAAGCGTATAGTAATCAAGATCCGGACTTGTCCAGAGATATAAAAGCAATCCAGATCCCTGCATCATATACATCTTGGACGGCCAGACCTGTGGACGATCGGGCCATGCCTTCCGCACGTATCGTCAAGCGGTGATATCGCAGTCCATTTCCCATAGCGATGTTACACTTAGCAGCCGTGCCCTTGGAGGGCCTGAACGATTGGGAAAGCTCATAGCTGGGGTTGAACACGGCGATTGGCTACCCTAGCTTGACAATGTGGAGAAGAGGGCGAATAGGGCTCCGAGTCTTTTGCTAACGGCCGTAAGGCGCACCCTCCATGAACAGGTT